CCAAAGTGCTTTATTTGTTTTCTTCGTATATCGTCTAGGCCAGCCGTTTTATTATCTTTCATTTGGTGGATTGTACATCTCATCTCCTCCAGACAAAAGGAGGTACCTAGGACATCCTCTTCTTCTCCGATATTTCGTTGTTCTCTCACTTTGTTCTTTCTTGATGTCGTCTTACCATTTGTCAGGAGACAATGAGCTATCTGATCGGATGTGACTTTTGTCAGATTGGGTGCCGGGGCGGCGGGATTGTTGCCAAGATTCCGAATTAATTTCCAAGCGAGTCTGCTGTTTTGTTTCATGTCTAGACTCATGACTCGGACCCTTAGCTGGCCCATAGACTAATTGTTCTAGTTCTATACTTCCTTCGAATAAAATATGTTTTATTCGGAAGTTCCCCATGCGATTCAAGTGGAATACGCTTATGTTTAATAAAAAATATATATTTTATTTACGATAATTTATTATAATTACTAACAATAAGCTTTTAAATGATAATTAACATTAAAAGCGTACATTTTATTATAATTAACATAATTTATTTTGAGATAAATAACTCAGTAAAGTGATCGAAAAAATTTTAATATACTATCAATAATTTAGAAATCTTGGAATGTCTATGTCTATATCATAAATAAATTAAGTATTTTTTTTTTAATAAATATCACATTATTACGATAATTTAAGCAAAACCATCTAGAAGGTCAATGGGGTAAAATTGTTATGGAATAAATATAAATATAATCAGTCCTGAATGTTATTCATTTATGCAGTTTAAGCCTTACAACGGTTGGCATGTTCCTCCTCTTCGAAGTTGTACATCTGCAATAAAGTAAACAGTATTAAGCAACATTTTCAGTATAAGTTTGTCAGGGCTTTTATGTCTATGCACATTTCAGAACGATGATCGCTAATGCTTTCGACATGATAAAATCGCACAAATTATTTGCATTCAAGAGACGGAATTGAAACTAAAAAAGGGACAAAAGAACTAAATGATAGACACACATTTTAGTACATACTGAAAGAACTACTAAGAATAGAGTACAGCTTTTTATGGTCAATTAGTAAAGATACTAGATGACGAGTTTGGAACTAGAACTGATGCTGGAGATGATATTCGGAAACTAGCAATAGTACTAGATATAGTTAATATTTTTTTGGGCCAATCCTGATTAATACTGACCAATACTTAATGTATAACTCCAGGCAGAACTTTATAGATAAATATACTCGGAATTAGGGAAGCTTTATGAAGGCAAAGAGAATAAGGATGAAGAATGTTATTGCTAGATTCTTAAAAAGCAGTAACTGATTGGGTTTATGAATTAACTTTTTTTAAGTTCACTAATAAGTTGAGCTACAGGTAATAGTAGCTGTACATACAACCTATTCTTTTACCACTCTGTTATTTTTTTATTTTTTCAGCGATGTCAGTGATAATCAGATTATGTGAACAAATTAAAATGGAACAGACCTAAACCAAACAACTGATCAAAGCATCAGTCGAATAAAAAAGGTAATTTACCTCTTCCGTTGGTATTTTTATTTAAATCAATTATTACAGTCGAAAAATGATTAGCTAAAACTTCCTGCATATTGTGGTTTAGCATTTTGTGGTTAGGTTAGGTTAGTGATTATACTTTATATAAATATTTTACAAAATTACCAATATGATAAACCAAATCTTTTTTACTTTAAAACGGAAGCAAAATTTGGTTAGGAATTGCATCATTGATTGATTTGCAAGAACTAGTTATTTACGAATTGAATGGAAACTGAACGAAAAATATAATTTTTTAATATAGTTTATTATTTATCCAATTAATGATCTAATGCCCTCTTATTTTTTGTTAATAGTAATGATAGTAAGTAAACTAATTTATTTTTTTTTCTAACAGGAGTATTCATATAAATGTACCGCCGAAGTTTAGCAACCCAACCAAGAAATCAAGAAGAAAGAAATCTACACTTCGTTTCCAGCATCAACAACAGATCAAAAAATTGCTTTTCGAGCAAATAAAATTTGAAAACATTTCGCATTTTAGCACAAAAGATTTTAGATTGATCCAAAACGTCACAGCGAAGTTAGGTTTATTGGGGTAAAGGAAACCACCTCAGCTATTATGTCAATCACAGTGGATATATTAGAAAAATGGAGTAGACTAGGGAAGTTAATTTCAATAAAGAGGAGATACCCCAGAATATCAGCTAACAGTGCAAATACTTGGGAGTCACAATGGATTAGGTTTTAATGTTCACCTCATACGTAAACGCCATAGAAGGATTCATGGGAAGAAGAAGTTAGCAATGAAAACCAAATTGAGATTGATCAAGAACATCATATTACCCATAATAACATACGCTTCTCTTACATGGGGACACACATGTAGAAACACAAACAAAAAGAAGATAAAAGCAGCACACAACAAATACTTAAAAGAAGCTGAGAGTGTGGCCAGATACGTAGCAGAATGTTTCCTTTTTAAAGATCTGAAGCGAGTAAGAGTACTGGAGATGATATAAGAAAAAACAAGAGAAAAATTTGCTCAGGTAAAAGACTACCAAAACTGGATTCTGCGGAAGATATTATGTGCGGTATGATTCATAAACGGAATTACAGAAGATCTAAACAACAAATGTCTATCGTTTTTTGTAAGTTTCACTAAATAATTAATATTATGACAAGTAAGTTATTTATAAATTTTTTGCTTACTTCTTCCACAACCAGCGGCACAATTAAGTCTTTGAAGGTTGTCATAATTATTTCCATCAGTACCACAAACAGGATTATATTCACTAGTAGTTCGGCAGTTCGTATAGCATCTTGTATAACTGGGTGAGGCTGTAGTGGTAGTTGATCCATCTGGAGTAACACTATTATCCGTAGGCAGTTGGTTGTTAGGTACCTGAATACTTGGTATTTGGATATTTACATTTGGATCTTGATTAAAATCTTGGTCTGTGAAGTCGGGTATATTTGGATTCCATGCTGAAAACACAAATATTGTATATATTATTAATTGGTTAAAATGTTACTACGTTATATACTTATACACGGTGTCATAAAGAATTTGTGCTAGTCATTGCAAAATGTTCGGAAGCAAAAAATTATAGTAGTAATACGATTAAGATACAGACGATATTTTCAATTAGGATAATATTAAACTGTGGAAGATAAAACGGTAAGGCGGTGGTGTGCCATTTGTGCAGTACATTCAAACTCATGCATGTAATATCTTCTTCTTTAAGTGCTGTAACGAGTCCGTCACTTCAATAATCCTTCAAAAATCCTAAATTTGATTTAAGAATATTATTTTTTTTTTTGGAAAGAAGAATATGGCAAGGTTTTAGTTGTTTTGTGGTGTATACCCTTTGATTTATAGCCTTTTTTAGCCGGTAGGTTGATTCAATTATAAATAAAAAGTGTAAAAATCATCAGCCATTTTAACTTCTATAATATCGTCATTTTTCGTTCGATAGTGTAATATCTATTTGTCATTTCTCACATTATTTCATTAAGAAACATTCTGGATTTAGATATAGTAATGTTATAAAAATCATATCAATTTTCTATTTTATTTTCCAGTCTTAAAAACATATAATTATCCATCTTTAAGACTATCTATTACCTATTAAGACTATCTGTAACAATATTCTGCCTTATACCGTTCTTTTATATTCAAAAATATATTCGCAGCAAGCTTTTCGTTAAAATTATCTATTTGATCAATCTATTTTACATCAAATATTGTCAAACCATGCGAAGGTCACATTATCTACAAAATCATTACAGCTTTTTTATTTGATACAAGCTTCCCAGCAACTTTTTTGTAATATTTTTCAAGTTATTTCATTTGTTAAGAAACTTTGTGTTTTTCCCTTCTTTTTATTAAGCGTAAGGAGGAACTATAACACAATTGTTCTTTTTAGCCTACCTAAGAAGTAAATCAGTTGTGTGTAACCAGGGTATTTATATTCTTTTTTATATAAGTAACTAGATTAACTGTACATAATTGGTGGTGGGTATTTTAGGGTAAATTTAGACTGTATACATATATATATATATATATATATATATATATATATATATAATATATATATATATTTATATATATATATATATATATATATATATATATATATATATATATATATATATATCGGTTTTAGAACGTCTTTCGACGTTGTCCGATGCCTAACTTCCACGTCCTTCTATCATCCCATTGGCCGCTCTCTAAGATCTCTTGTACTCATTGCTTTAGTTACCCCTTCTTTCCATGTCTTTTTGGGTCTTCCTCGTTTTTTGCGGTTTGGTGGTACCCACTGCATAATCTTCTTGGGTAGTCTTGTGTCTTCCGTTCTTTGAACATGACCATACCAAATCAACTGTTTCCTCTCAATGTCTGTTGTTAAGTATACATTTGGATAGAGATTAAATTTTTGGTAAAAACAAAATATTTCAATTATACCTGTTTCCCTCTTTATTTCAGCAAACAGCTTTACAAGATACGTGTTCTATTCACGATATTTTCAGAATTCTTCTGTACACCCACTACTCAACAACCTAACTCTTAGTTCCAATTTTAAATCCCTTGTACACAGGACTCTTCTCATTTTGTTGAAATTTGCTCTAGCCTTTTCTATTCTTCTATTCTATTCACAGAGTCGTAGGCTGCTTTGTATTCTATAAATATGTGATGAGTATCAATGCCATATTCCAGTGTTTTTTTCCAAAATTTGTTTTTGTGTTGCAATCTGATGAATTCTTGATTTACCATCTCTAAAACCAGCTTATTATTTTCCTACTATCCGTTCTCTGCCTATGGTGCCATACGATGACATAGTACCGTGTAAAATATTTTATATGCTGAATTTAGAAACGCAATTCCTCTGTGGTTAGAGCATTCAAAGATATCTCCTTTTTTCTGTATAGTGCAAAGTATTCCAATATTTCAATCATTGGGGAGGGATTTCTGTGTCCACATTTCTTTTATAAGCTGCTATAATGCCATTATGGTATCATGACCACTTTCTTTATATAGTTCAGCTGCTGGGAGATTATCTATTCCAGGTGATTTGTTTCTGGCTAGTTTTTTAACGGCATCTTTAACTTCAAGAATCGTTGGTGTTCGTATTTGAAATTCTAGCCCGAAATGTTGAGATCACCAGGCAATGATCTGAGTCTATGTTTGCGCCCTTATAACCTCTGCAGTTTATTACGTCTGTTTCATGCCTTGAATCGATTATATGATCAATCTGACTCGTGGCTCTTTCATCAGGAGAGGTCCAGGTTACCTTGTGTGTTTTCAAAATAGGTGCTAGCGACTGTCATATAGAGTGCTGCTGCTAAGTTTATCAGTCGTAATCCATTATCGCTACTGACGTTGTGTAGGCTATGTTTTCCTATAGTGGGCATGAAAACTCGCTCTCGTCCTATTCTTGCATTCATGTCACCTAATAAAATCTTAATGTCATTTTTGGGACATCTCCTGTAGGATTGCTCTAGGTCTTCGAAAAACTGTTCTTTTATTTCCTCTGGTTTGTCATTAGTTGTGGCATATGTATTGATCAAACTATTTTCATATTCCAATATAAGGTTGAATGTTCGAATAACTAAACTTTGATAGTATACAAGGCTACTATCGAACACAGTGATTAATTAAATCTTGCCCAAGTACTTTCGATCAATAGATCATCTTCAGGGGCATTTCGTTAGTTGTGGCCTATCCGACATGAGTAGAATATCATAAAAGTAAAATTGGACATAACAATACAATACACAAAGACAAACAAACACTTTAAAATTTTTAAAGGAGAAGCTACATGTTATACAGAAACCTGGAGACAGAATTCTGTCATTCTGTCATACTTTTATGACATTCTACTCATGTCGAAGAGGCCACAACTGACGAAATGCCCCTGAAGATGATCTATTGATTGAAAGTACTTGGGCAAGATTTAATTAATCACTGTGTTCGATAGTTGCCTTGCATACTATCAAAGTTTATTTTCATATTATACAAAAGTATTTAATGTCATTTGTCAAAATAAAAGATTTGGTTAACATGATGGCAATAAGTCTCTTTTAGTCATAAAGTATTTTGTACTTTATTAAAGGATCCTGTAATAAAGGCGGTTTCAGTTATGGTTTATCACCTTATGGTTTCAGTAACTCTCTGTTGTTGGCTTCTAATATATTTATATTTATTTAGTGATTTTTACTTTAAAAATTATTCTTAGACGTTAAAATAAATATGAAGGAAAAGTCTATTCGTTGCACATCACTGATCTCAAGCAAACATTCCTATCATATTTACATATTTTACAATTCCTCATCTTCTTCATATTCTGATTTTGGCTAAAAAGGTTATCCTCTATGCAGGATATTTTTCTTTCTTCCTCTACTTCTTTTCGCCGCGATTTTTTCCTGTACCATAAATCTTAGATATTGTAAGAAATTATGTGGCCCAGGTATTGCACTTTTCTTTATTTTATCGTTATTTTTAATTCTTTATCTTCCCTCATTCTTCTCAACAACCTCATTATTAGAACCTGATAAACCAATGATTTCTCAGAGTTATCTCGAATATAAGTTCCAAAACATTTCTTACACATTGAACATAGTTATTTTTTATTTGTAATGTACATTTTTATTTTTTGTAACAAAATGTAATTTATATTCACCTTTTCATTTCCTTCCAGGAAAAGTAACCAATGTAAAGTGTTTTCTATATCTGATATTAATTTGATGTTTTGAATTTGTGTATTATGTTTTATGTAAATTCCTTACAGAGGCACATATTTAAGTGCAGATATAATTGTTAAATCAATACAAAAATAAAATTTAATAATTGTTTTATAATTAAACCTATTTTTAATAATATTTCTAGATAGGTAAATCATTTTTTATCAAAATAAAAAAAGTTTTGATACTTTCATAAAAAAAATAATTATCTTACTATTTTCAAGTCAACTTACAATTTGTTGGAATCTGTCTTCCTCCTGCTTGGTTCCATGAATTTTGTCTTGTACCCCGGTTTCTAGACCAATTATTACCGTTATTTTGCCAATCTTCCCAATTGAACTGGCGGCGTTGTCTCGAAGGTAAGCAACTTACACCCAAAACGGTGATTGCTGAAAATAATGAAAAAGTAGAAGTTTTTAAATAAAAGCAAATGTATTATAATATATTTATAGTAAATAAGAAACATTTATATGTATAGACAACTTGCAGTAACCTTAAAACCGTAATTATAAAGTCATTATTAATGACTTCTTAACGACTTCTTAAGGACATATAAAGAACTAATTTAAGAATTTCTAGTCACTAGATTTCGAATGAGTTCGTAATTTAGACTCATTATGTTGTCGAGTCTCAACAAGAAAGGTACCTACTATCATGTTTATTAGAACTATTTTGTAGAATGGAGATGGTTATGTGTAGTACTAATAAACAGATCAGATTGACACCAGAATCTAAAATAATAGTTTACAATGTATTTAAATGTATGCAAATACTATTTCCTGAAGCAAATCGAATCAGTATTAAACAACGTGTGAGTAAAGCTACTGGAGTATCTTAACGTACAGAAGAAAGGATCATTCAACAAGTGAGTATGTTAACAAACGCAGAGTCAAATAGTACACTAAAATTTTTAGCTACACCACTTGCTAAAAGGAAAGCAGCCGTGACAGACTTGAGGGACTATGACAAACAGTTCATTAGAAATAGCATTCATCGTTTTCATGAGACTGAACGTTGTCGTGTATAATTGAAGTTTTTGCAGAACAGGCTTGAATATGTGTACGATTGGACTGGAAGTGTGAGTTCTATATACAGAAATGTGAAAGATTTCGGATTTAAATGAAAGAAAACGAAAGATAATCGACGTTTATTAATTGAACGGAATGATATTCGTGCTCTACTTATTAAATATTTGAAGTTGCAAAACAAAGCGTTTATTTTAAGTTAGAAGACGTAAAAGTGTTGGTGGAACAGGAATTTGCTAGAGTAACTATAGACAACTGGAAGAAACTGTGTGAAGATGTTGTCAAGGTTAAAGATAAGTATTAGGAAAGTGAACGTCACATATATGCAATTACTGAAGAATTAAGGATTTATTTAAATGATTCTAATGACGACGACAGTGCACCTGATTATGAAAGTTAATAATATAATTTAACATTACGATGTACCTATCTAAATTTCCTATTTTTTTCGTATTTTTTGGAACGCTCCTGCTTTGTTTGGTGAGGCTTTACTGTTCTTAGACATTTCCGCCACTTCAATTGAAACATACTCTATAATTAGTTTATTACAATATTTTTAATGTAATTTGTTATCGGTGTTTAAATTATTATTAATTGACCTTTTATTATTATTTCAGTATTCCTTGTTGGTTTTCCAAGCGTGAAACGCTTTATTTTTGATTATTTTGTATATTTTTATCTGTTACGGCTGCGTAGCAATTTTAAAAGTATCTAGATATATCTTTTGTTATTTTTTTTATTACGTTTATTTCTTAGGTTTAATGACGCCTTACAATTGATTTGTATTCAAAACATGTATTTCTTTCATATTCTTATGAGTATTCAAGGTCGGTGATTTACAGAGATTAAATATAATTTATATAATTAACGTTAAAAAGTTTTTAAAGCAGTAAATGAATGATCTTGATAGTCAAAATTGCTCTCTTGGAACATGTCGACATTCTAACAAATAATAATATCAAGTTCATGGACAAACAATTGCATAAGATTTGCCGGTAACTTACACAATATTTTTTAAGAATTTATTTTGATTAATGACACTATTTTTTAAAATCATTGTAAGTATATTTCCACATAATTCTAAAAAGTGTTTGGTTGATAGATATTTCGCAGATTTTTGCATGTCCAAACGAAAAACTCTAAGAAAATCATAACATATAAAATGTTTACTAACTTATACTAAACAAACAGAAAATTTAGTTATTATCTGCAAAATTTATTACAAATATATAGAACAAAAACTGGTTATTAAATCATTTGATCATTATAATTAACAAGTCATCATCATTAGTGAACGAGAAGATTCAATGCAGGGAGGCCTTGATACTGATATATTTTGCATTTCTCTGTGTCAGCGCCCACTTTATATTCCATTTGATTTTCTCTTTCTTTTATTCCTAACTGTTTTAGGTCTTGAACTCTAATCGGGTCGTTCTTTTAGTCTTTTATTCCGCAGTTTTTCTTTAAATACTTTTTTGTATTCGTTGTATTCTTCTTCTTATTATGCCGTTTGATTTCAAAGGTTGGCGATCCAAAAGGAAACTGTAGCTTTGGAAACTACTGCACGAAAGATTTCTGCGGATGAGCCGTGAAACCATCTCCTCAGGTCTTTCAGTCATGGGTTCCGGCGTCTTCCTACTAATCTTTCGCTCTGTTCTTTACCTTCCAATACAATTCGGAGTATTTTTTATATTTCAGTTCTCAACACATGATCCAATTATTAGTATTGTATTTTCCTATCTTTGTTCATGCTTAGTTTGTTATGTTACCATTTTATATGTGTTTTATGGTATTGACTACTATTTTTGGGGATCTATGTTAGACTTGTAAGTGTTGCAGATCGGATAAATGTATCGTCTTTATTTTAATCATTGCAAAATTTTCTTTATCCCTGTCATACACTATATTGTTCAAACTTGTTTATTCAAAGAAGTGTTTGTAATATATTTATTGTTATTTTTCCAAAATTTCTTTTTTTGCATATCTTAATATTTTATAGACCATATATTTATTCATACTTTTTTTGATTTAATTTTTTTAATTATTTTGCTTTATTTGGTGGTCTGGTAAGTAACACCCTACGCCGATTGGGGTGACGCGATCACAAAAATAAACACTAGCTCTAGAAAGTCAAACATTTTTTAATCATATATGTCAAATTTTATTGCGATGCAGCCATTAGTATATTTTTGACAGCAAAAACGATTTTAGCTCTCTCATTATTAACACTATTATTTGAGAAACAAAACTGCGAAGAAAACAAAAGAAAATCTGGATACATATTATGGGACTAATACTCCCTCATACTACACAGTCAAATTTTGGTTCCGTGAATTCCGTAGTGGTCGTATATCTATATTGAATGAAACACCTACTAGATGGCCCTTCGGTGCAGTAACACTAGAAAATGTGAAGAACGTCCACTAAATGGATTTAGCTGATCGTAAACTAAAGATGCGTTTATTCGCAGAAGCTACAAGAATTCGTAAATAATGCACTACCCATATTTGGAACAAAGTTTTAAATATGAAAAAATTGATTCAAAAACATGATCATGTGATCAATGGTCAGCAGTGATTGGACCTTATGAAGCGCAATCCGCCAGACTTTTGACTTCGATCTAAACCTGGATAACCTGCTTCACATCAGAGAAGAGAATGAACGCATTGGACTTAAGCCGGTAAAAGTACTCCGAAGACCAAGAGTGGCTCAATAAGTCGGAGAGGGTATGGTAATTGTATTTTGGGATTGCAAAGATATAATTTTAAGTGTCTTCCTTGAAAACAGCAAAACTATCAATAGCCAATATTATTCTGCATGATAGGATAAATTGAAGCAGGAACTGTGAGAAACGGACCCATATCCAGAAGGAAAAACTGTAAAAATTAATGAGTTAGCCTTAGAATTGCTATCTCATCCAGCGTATTCTCTTGATTTGGCCCCTTTCGATTATTATCTGTTTCCAAATCTGAATCTATGGGTGGTAAATAAAAAAATCATCTCGAACGAAGAGATAATTGAGGAAACCAACACCTATTTTGCCAAGTTTCCATAATCGAATTATTCGCACAGCATAAAGAAGTTGTAAAATTGCTTTAACCGTTGTATTGAACTAGAAGAAGACTATATTAAACAAAATAAAAGAATTATCTGGAAAAACATGTTTTTCAGTTCAACGAAGATTACTTAGCCCAGTATTATCTAAACCATGCCATTGTTTTTTTTTTCGTCTACTTGACGCATTTGATTATAAATATTTCATTTAAAATTAAAGTTTATATTACTCCTTACTTTTGTACATAAAATTTAGGCTGTGGTAAAAGGTTAGTGTTTATTTTATTAATGGATTGATATTTGCAAATGCTTGAAAAATTAAATAGCAATATGATAATGTTTAGTATTGACATGAAGTAGGAAATCCCAAATATTTAATTACAATCCACAATTTATTAATGTATTCTTCTAGTTTTGTTTGAATTAGATAAAATTGGTAGTTTCACAATAGTAAGCAATAGTTTCACAATATAAAATATTCTAGTTTTTAGTCGCCACAGTCTTTTAACAAGAACTAAAGAAAAATAAAATGTCTTGGGCGGTTGTTGAGAACATAAGCTGAGAATAAGGAACAATTGGTTGAACGAAATTGATTGAGCTGATAGGCCCGAAACCATGGGACAAAATACGAATTAGAAACTTAGGATTTTTGGTTCGTTTTTAAATTCACTCTGATTAGTTACGAAGAGAACGGAAACCTCTGCAAAAAATGTCGAAATATTCGAAATTCGAAAAAAACATCACAGAAATTTTAGATAATTGGTAATTTTATTTTTTTTTCATCAAATAAAATGCAGATATCAAGCACAGTTTTTATTAAATCTTGCCCAAGTACTTTCGCTCCTAGAGCATCTTCGGGGACATTTCGTCAAAATCAGGCTATCCAACAATATATAGTGAATGTCAGAAACAGTTTTTTTCTTCTTGATGTGCCTACCAGGTACGAATGTTGGCGATCATCATAGCAATCTTTATCTTATCTGCAGCAGCGCGGAAAAGCTGCACGGATGTTGTATTGAACCAGATTCTGAGGTTCTTTAACCAGATGTTCTTCTTCTTCTTGGACCTCGTTTTTCAAATATTTTTCCTTGTAGGATGGCTTGAAGGATAGCATATCTGGATTCATTTTGCATAATATGTCCGAAGAATTGTAACTTTCGAGAGTCGATGGTGGTCAGAACCTCTCGTTTCTTATTCATTCTTCTGAGTACCTTTCCATTTATGACTCGGTTAGTCCATGGGATTTTAAGTATTATCCAAAATAGTAAAATCTCAAATGCTTCCAGTTTTCTGCACATATATTGGCTCAAGATCTACGATTCAACATCATAAAAAGGACAGAGAAGACGTAGCATTGCAGCATTCTTACTTTTGTATCAAGAGAGGTTGTGACTCTTGAAGAAGGCCCCCATCCGATTAAAGGTGGATCTAGCTTTTCCGATCGTACTCTAATCTACTGGTTGTTGGTCCATTCTTCATTTATTATGATGCCGAGGTAGTTGTGTACGTCACACTTTCTACAAGGGATTGGTTGACGTAGAGTTGATCTTCTTTTGTCATTTTCTTGCTAATTATCATAAGCTTTGTCTTCTTAACGTTCATATTCAGTCCATATTGTTGACTGTAATACGTGATTTTGTTAATAAAAACTTGTAGGTCTTCTAAGTTATCCGTAAATACTATGGTGTCATCTGCATATCTGATGTTGTTTAGCTGGTAACCATTGACTAGACCATTTAGTAGTAATACCTTTATTTAGTAGAATACCTCATAAATGTTTTCGAACGAATTTCATCCAGAACGGGGTGTCAGACAAGGATGTATACTATCTCCACAATTATTCAACATATATGGGGAGTATATTATGCGAAGAGCACTTGAAGGATGGGAAAAGGGCATCTCAATAAATGGTCATAAACTAACAACCTAAGTTTCGCAGATGACACAGCCCTTCTTGCAAATAGTCAAGCAGAGCTGATAGAGCTTATACGACTGATCGAAAACGAAAGTCAAATATTTGGTCTGCAATTAAACATATCAAAGACAAAGATCATGATAGTGGATAGACTACACAACAATCATCCACACTTAACCACAATTGACCAGTTCGAGGTTGTGAGCTCATACTTATACCTGGGATCAGTAATCACAAACACAGGGTCATTAAAAGAAGATATTAAACGTAGATGTGATCTAGCAAAAGTTGCCACAGCAAAAATGACCAAAATATGGAAGGACTGTCAAATTTCAAGAGCGATAAAGATGAGGTTGATCAACTGCTTAATATTCCCAATACTGACCTACGGATGTGAATCTTGGACTTTGAGACAATCGGAGAGAAGAAAGATAGACGCCACTAAAATGTTCTGTTGGAGACGAATGTTACGATTTCCTCGGACCGACCGTAGAACAAATAATTCAATTTTAAGAGAGCTAAAAGTTAGCCAACGACTCTCTAGTAAAGTCCATCTCCAACAATTAAAATATTTTGGGCATGTTATGAGAGCAAACACAGAAAACATGGAAAGACTCATAATACAAGGAAAGGTAGAAGGCCGAAGATCACGAGGAAGATCCCCAACAAGATGGATAGATCAAATTACAGGAATATGCCAAAGACCTATGCATGCATTAAAAGAAATGACCAGAGACAGAGATCTCTGGAGACGGACAATACACGACATCACGTCGACCACTACACTCCCCCTGGGGGGTCAGGATTGAAGAGAGATACCTCATAAATATTAACTGATACATTTACACAACACGAGACAAAGGACAGCCAGTTTAAAATTATTATGAATTCATGAAGCTACATATTGGGTGACATCAGGAGAGAGAATCAGAGAGAGAATTCTGTCTGTTCTGAGAAATAGAACATTCAAATACGTAATTTCCAAAAACGGGGAAGAGGTAGAAGTGTGCCAACAATTTATTTTAAAGACGCTTTGTATTTCGCAAATGACATTAAGGTATACTAAAGAAAACGCATATAACGAACAATTTGCAAGACCGGATCAAAGAGGTAAGCATGAACATCCACACAAAACAAGTATTAATGATAATGACACAATCCACGAATTTATAAAGAAACTTCCTACTGTTTCTTCTCATTATTTCAGATCAATTACAACAAAAAAATACTTACCTGCCGAAATGTATCTTATCTTTATAGATTGTTCATTAAAGATCAATTTGATATTCATAAAATAAAAACTAAAGTAACGTTGAAGGTGTTCAGAACTGTTTTGTTTTTAAGAAAGACTTCAATATATTGAAGAAGTAGACAACAGAGAGACTGTAAACACGGAATCTCTTTTCTGTGATAGTTGTGTCGGGAAGATTAAAAACAGGTCTATGTTAAGAATGCTTCACACGTTTCTTAAAAAATCTAAAAACATCCGTAAAGTCAAAATTGTTTTTTTTCTTCCAGGATACACATACATTCCTGTAGATGCAGTCCACGCCACAATCGAAAGGTTTGTTCGTAATCGCATTGTTTGAATGGCCTACAGTAATACAAAATGGTAGAGTTAATCCTAAAGCTTTCGAAATATGAAGCATTCTGATTTTAAATCTTGGAAAACTGTTGCAAATACTTTATTTCCCAAGACAGTACAGAAAACAACCGATGGATACAAGTTAAGGCGACTTAGAACTGCAGTTTTGGAGAAAGGACAAAACTTCAAAATCAAATCAAAATTAAATATTCGTATTTTAATACAGCAGATGAGTTTATTTTGTCTATTCCATATGATTTTTGTGATTTTAGTTTAGAAAGTTTTTTTTTTGGCTTAGACTATCGTCATACAGCCAGACACAAAAGAACTAAGACAGTCATCATTATAATTATTTACCTAAATGCCCTATCAAGATAGAAAATTACATCGATATTAGGAGAACAGAAACACACTCTTCTCGCCTAGTGACCTATCAAGGCATTGATTTATATAAGACATAACAACACTAGGTCACGGAGAGGAGGAAGTTATACAAATGGTTTAAAACAAAGGTAACAAGATTAACTAAATAATTTTTAGAAAATTATAATGATAATTTGCTGTCTTTTAAAAATTTTATTTAAGAGTTGTAAATATCTACAGAGCCAAGTGATAATAAATGTAGCATATTCCAAGGAGCTGCTATTTTATATTTTAATAAATCATTTATAAGTTTGGATGAGTAGACTCTATTTTTAGAACAACCAAAAAACATTTGTCATTATCCAAAACCTTTATTTTAAATAAGTGCTTTGGATAACATGCGTGTCCGAAACGTATTCTAATAATGGAAGTTATGTGCCTCCTGGAAGCTCTAAAAGACTTGTACCAAGGAAATTTGGGAATATCTGGCTGAATTATCGAGTATCTATTTTGGTTCACAAAAGAGTATTCCTTCCACTGGTAGCTCCACTTTCGAAGCAATGTTGACTTGCAAGAAACAATACTGTCAGAAAGCGTTACTTTATGTAAAATACCAGTATCGGTTGAAATTTTCTTTGGCTAATAAGTCGACATATTCTTTATGTTCAAATCCTGCATGTGCTTTAATCCAGAGACAATGTACATTGATTCCTTTGGTTAAAAGAGTTTGAATAATATGTTTAATTCTATAAATGTATGGGCAGTCTTGTAAGTTTGGTGGTCCATATTTACCAATGGATTTTAACACTGCCAAGGAGTCCGACAAAATTATAATATGGGCAAAATCAACTTCAGCTACATATTATAAAGCTTCATATATTGCAATGGCCTCTGCTGTATAAATCGAAGTTTCCGGGTTTAGTTTGAATTTCTTTTCTATATGTTCCGATGGTATAAAAACAAGCGCATCTGGTTCCATCTGGAGATTTAGACGCATCTGTATATAGAGCTATTGCCTCTTTGTATTTGCTTATTATAGATAGAACAATATTTTTATTTAAATATATATTTTCACTATAATTTGGTACAATAATATCTGTATGTAAAAAGAAAGAAGAGTAATTTTTAAATATGTAGTTCGTTCTATTTATATTTTTTAAAAGTGCTATATTTTGATTATACGCTTCGCAAAGTAAGGGAGATTTCTTTTTTTGCCAATATTTATTTGTCAGGTCATGGCAATTTAAAGTGACTATCTTTTCGTATAGAGATGAGTTCAGTTTAGAAAGTTCAATAAGAGTATGTGTGGCCAAAGAGAAAAGTTAGGTGTGAGTAATTTACTGCAATTAGCTACAGTATCTCACCAGTTATAAGAATAACTAACCTTAAAATAAAACTTCTTTTTTCATCTAATGCGGCTACTTTATGAATGATAAAAAATCCTTACCGTTTACTTTTCTTATTATTTTATTGCAGGCACACACTCAAAAATTGCCATAGAGAAACTAGGAATGCTATGTAGCAGCCATTGGCAATTTCGGCTACTAAGTTCAATAACTCTATGGACCTATGTCGGAAACACAAAATTTTTGATACATTGGCAGAAACTGATAAAGACGGTCAGAGTGTCATAGATAATTAATAACTAAACTTTATTTTTCTTTGTCGATTTTTGTTATTAATAAAATTTTTCCTGTTAAGCTACTTACGTTAATTATGACTATTAATTTATAGATACGATAACTTGAAACTATCGTATGTTTATCGTAAGCGACAAACTTCAACCAAAATTTACACAGACAAGGTCGGACAAAATGTCGTATGTTACATAATTTAATAAAAGAATGTTAGATTTCAGTTATTTTTCTTAAATTTAGAATATTTTTTATGTACTAATTTTTACTAGTTTAAAAATTTTAATTTTATTGGAAAAAAGTTGCTAGCAGAAAAAGTCGTCTTCTGAAAAATGTGCGTTTTGTCGTTTACGGTGTTTTGTCAAAAACCCATGGATTATAAAGCAGAACCTACAAACACGTAATTTCATAAAAGCAAGAAGACTGAGATAATTACTATATTTACAGAGGCATAGGAGGAGGAGAGAAGAATGCTAACAAAAAGTAATTGTAGTTAGTTGTTAAAAAACAAAAATGAAAATTTAATACAGTTGAGACAACATAAAAGAGAAGAAATCCTAACTGAAAACTAAAGAGTATAAAGATAATAGAAATTTTTAAAGATACATGTTTGTATCTAAGAAACGATATACCTATAAAATTGTATTATACAATTTAAATAGAGTATAGAGAATAATAAATAGTAAGTAGAGTATACACAAAATAGCAAAATAGATACAAGCAGAAATTTTCATGAGGCCAAATGAACCCTGTGAAATCTACAATTTACAATAGATACCTATAAGCCTCTACTCTAGAGTC